TGAGAGAGTTGTGAGACACTAGCAATTCTTCAAGTCTTGAGGGTCGTCCTCTGTAGAGAGAGAGCTAGGCTATCCCAGCACAGGCAGCAAAACAGCCAGCGGGTCACCAACTGTCAGTCCTCAGCTCGAGAGATGTATATTTCAATCGCGTGGTCTTAAAGGGACCTCAACTTACAGCGACACAGTCCACAGGCTAGGCGTCCCGCTGGTAGTGTAGCCTCTAAATTGAGGCACAGAACAAGCAAGGCAGCCGCCTGATGATCAAAGAGCAGAGACAAGAAAGGTGAGGCTCACGGAGCCATTTATCTCTCCGCCCTTCAATTAATCCCACTTGTGTTTATTGGCCAGGCTGGCACAATAAACTATCTCAATAGGGTTGCAGAGCCACCCCGTTGGGGTACGAAGCCCTTAGGCGGTTTTCTTGACATTTAGTCCCAGAGCTCCGCTGTTCCCGCCTCTGACTTCGTTGGCAGCAGCCTGGGGGCTGGCGCCCACATCCCTGAGTCCTGGGGGTCCTGCTTCCCGCGAGGGTCTGCCCGGGCCTATGGGCGTGTCTTCCTGCCTTGGGGGCGCCCCCAGCTTTTCCCAGCCTGGGTCTTTAACAGCTGCGAGCTAGCTGGCACACCTGAGTCCCTCCCTCAGGGCGGTGCGGGGCTGCAGAAGGAAGGGCTGCAGGCACCCCCTGATCGCCCGGGGCTTGGGTCTGACCCACAGGGAAAGGGGTGTCCAGGCTGGCCTTGTGTGGGTCCCGCCAGTCACTAGGAGGCATCTCCGCCACAAACACCTTTGGCCTTGCGGCACCGTGCCCCACCTTTGAGGGCACCCGGCCTGTGGTGCAGCCCTGACCTTTTAGACGCTGGAGCATGCTCACGAATCTTCGCTACCGCCGCGGGGGCGTCGGAGCACGTCTGAGGACGCCGCCGCGGGGGATGCTGGGGACACGCTCCCAGGTCGCCGCTGCAGGGGATGTGGGAGCAAGTCTGAGGACACCGCCGCGGGGGATGCTGGGAACACACTCCCAGGTCGCCGCTGCAGGGGATGTGGGAGCAAGTCTGAGGACGCCGCCGCGGGGGATGCTGGGAACACACTCCCAGGTCGCCGCCGCGGGGGATGCCGGGAACACGCGCCCAGGACGACGCCAGGGCGGGGGACGCCGGGAACACGCCAGAGTTTCTCCGCAGGGGGCTTCCAGCTGCCCCTTGAGCTAACTTTGGTTCTTCCTGCAAAGGAAGAGCTTCAACTCAAATGAATATTCAGAAGCGTCTTGTTGTGAAACCCAAGCCGTGCCCTTCGCGGCGCCCGCCCTTCGCGGCGCGGTTGCTCAGGAGACAGACAGACTTCTGGCAGTGCGCGGCAGGCCGCGGCGACGACCCCAGCCACCTCGAGCGCGTGGCTGTCGGCTTTTTCGGCCTCCATGGAGTGTCCGTTTTAAAGAGGCGTTGTTTGTACGTTTTACGCTTTTACTTATTCTTGTGAATGGGTGAAGGTTTGGGGAACAGACGATCGGTTTTATTTAATTTTTTCTTGTAAGTTAGGCGGGGGCTTGCATTTCAGGTCATCAACTTTTGTCTTCATCAGTTTAAACCGCTCATCAATCCCCAGTAGTTGACCCCTTACCCGCTCGCTGGTGTCGCCTCTAGAGGTCAGCTTCCACAAACATTTTGTTCCGACCCCTCACTGCCTGTCACCACCCCGCCCCTGCCCCAGCCCTGGGCGGCTTGCCCCTGTGCCCCAGGGGTCCTGCCTCCCCACCCCCCACGGTGGAAGAGCAACCTGAAGGGCCCTGCTTCCCGTGGCTGTGTGGCTCTTCTGAGTGAAGGGTGGTAGTAGCAGGGCTTGACGGTCAAGGAGTCCAGAGGGGAAGGAGGCTCCTGGGGTCACACCTTAGCTGGAGGCAGCAGACCCCCAAAGCACCACCTCTGGCCTCTCAAGTCATCCACCAGATGACCCCCACGCCAGCCATGCTGACCCAGGCTGTGGAGGGGGGTCACTCTTGTCATGTGGGGGCAAGGAGGATGAGAGGCTGGGGAGCTGGGGCTGACCACGAGGGCTGGGCCAGGTGTGCCAAGAGAGGGAGGGTGCTCAGGAATGTGGGGGGGTGCCCTTCGAGCTGTCCTCAGATGCCAGGGTGTGTGGCAGAGCGGCTCACTGGGGTGTGTGTGGTAGCATCACAGGCATCTCTGGAGAAGCCCATGGTGAGAACCCCACCAAGGGTGGTATCCCAGGGGAGTCGTGAGCATAGCCAGGGCCCCTGCCAGAGCAGGAGGGCCAGCAGACTTCTCCCAAAGCCCTGGGGGGCAGGTGGCCTGGACATTGCAGCGGTGATGGCTGGCCACTCCTGAAGGAGATAAGTGGACTTCCTTGACATCACCAGGAACCAGCCTCAGCCCAGCCCATCCCTCTTTCTCGCTCTCTCACACTCACATTTCCTTCCTAGTTTCTTCACACTCACATGTTCACCTCAGTCACAATATACAGACTACCTTCTTAGAAATTCCACCTCGCCTCGCATTCACACACCAACACGCACCTCATCCAGACCCCTTATACCCATCTACATTGTCTCTCAGAAACCTTACCTCACGCCCCCGCCCACGCAACACACTCTCCCTCTCTCTCTAAGCCGGCAGCCATTGCTGCCTCTGCCCATCCCAGGTAGTTGACGTGCCCAAGCGCAGATGGCAGATACAGAGGCCGCCTGCCACCGCAGTCTGAGTCATTCATCGTGAACGGAGGTGGGTGCTGGAACTCTGCCAAGAAGAGACAACCTGGAGCTAAGAGGTCAGACCTGACACTCTCAGACATGACAGAGCCTTACATCTGCTTATACTTTCTGGAAAAAACACACCATTCCAGGCACGCAGCCAGTTGAAGAAACCGAGTGCTGAGATGCTTCTTCCCCAGGACCCTGAGCATCATCCAAAGACCCCTCCCTGACGGAACAGGGTGGGCCCCACACGAGAGTCTGTGTGTTGTGGAAGTATTTATTATTTTAAGTGTGTGTGTGTTTAGGTCCTAATAGGACATCGTTTGGTTGCCATATCCCAAACACTATGCCAGAGATGCAGCCTGACCCACCATCTGCCTGTGGGCACCGAGAGGAGCAGGGAAGGGCACCACTCTTCATCCTTCCCATGAACTCAGAGAGCGCAGTGTTAGCCATATGGTCTTGGTATTGCCTTGTCCCTGGTGGTCACCTGCTATAGGTACAGACAAGGCTTTCAGGATGACACCACCCCAGAGCCATTTACTGAACTTGAACTTTATTTAAGTAAAACAACACACAGGCCATGAGACGTGAACGGTCACGCCACACAACAACGCCAACGCCAGAGACCAGGCGTCCCTCGCAGCCGGCAGGCTCTGATTGGCAGAGGCCAGCACACACCCGTGTGGCTCCCAGTCTCCCTCCAGGCAGCACCGGCTCCATCCTCACCAGCGGCTCTCCTGGCTGCAAGTGGGGAGGCGCTGGTCAGTCCTCCCCTGGCATCCTGTCCTGCGCGGCCAGGGCCCCGGGGCCACCTGGACCTCTGTCCCTCAGCTCTGGGGCCACGGGCTTAGGGACTGGAACCAGGCCCAAGGCGGCCATGAGAGCCAGGTCCTCCCCAAGCACTCTGGGCTCGCTGCCCCTGGTCTCCTGTCCTTGAGTGCAGGGCAGCGGCCCAGCCCCCGAGCTGCCTTGCGCAGGCTCAGGGGGGTCCAAGGGCAGAAGGGAGAGGAGGGTGAGGCCCTGCTCCAGCAGGGTGGTGGCTGCGGGCACCAGCTCTGCCCCCTGGCCCGAGGCGGCCGGCTTCAGGATGCTCAGCTTCCAGATCTCCAGCTCGGCCTCCTTGGGGGGGAACTGCAGGGTTATGGCCCACATCTCCTGGGGCTCCAGCAGCACTTTCCAGGTCTGGCCTGGCAGCTGCAGGGCCTGGCGGGGCACCAGGTGGCGCAGGTAGACGTTGTTGAACTGGCTCATCATGGTGACCATCTGAAGGCTCAGCAGCCAGGCCTCGATGTGGGCCGGCTCCAGGGCCCAGGCGCAGCCCAGGTGCAGCACCATGTGCCCCTCTGGAGGGATGGGCACTGTGGGGAAGCTTTGCCATGGGGAAGGCAGGCTCGGCCAGTGCAGGCACGTGGGAGTCACCTGCAGCCTCCAGGCCAGCTCCTGAGCCCAGTCGGTGGCCTCCTCCGGGCCCAAGTCCAGGGGCACCGCATCCTGGGGGGCCAGCTCGGTGGGCACACACTTGAGCTGCTGGCTCAGCTCCTCGGGGGCCAGGCTCCCAGCGCCACCCCATGCGGCCAGCCCTGGGCCCGCCTCCTGCTCAGAGTCTGACTCCAACTCCAACTCGGACTCATCCCCCTCTTCCTCTTCCCAGTCCAGCAGGGCCTCCCTGAGGCCCAGGTAAGCAGCTCGGAGGCAGTGGAAGCAGAGGTGCATGCAGGGGCTGTGCTGGAGCTGGTACAGCCAGTACCCGCACAGGGAAGGCATGTCGTTCGGCTGATAATGCTTGCTGAGCGGGGGGCACATGGCCACGCAGGCAGCCTGTGGGGGCCCTGGGTAGGGGGACCCACAGGCCCTGGGGACAGCAGGAGGGAAGGCAGAGGAAGAGGGAGTCTTGTCAGGCGCTGGTGTGGGGCTGCAGAGGCTGGGCAGGAACTTCTGGACAGTTCTTCAGCTGCTGCCACTGCTGTTGCCTGGGAAGCAGAGAGGAGGGAGCCCGTGTGGCAGCGGCTGGGGTCTTGCTGCAAGAGCAGGAAGAGGTGCGGGCTGTGGGGGCTCCGCTCTGGGGCCCCAGTCCTGCACACGTGGCCTGCCATGGGGCCTTGCTCCCTCAGGCCCCAGCCTCAGCTGGGCTCCATCACACCCCAATACCGGGCCAGCCTGACAGCCCTGTCCCTGGTCTAGCCCCCCTCCCGCCTGATGCTGACAGGTGGGCGAGGTGGGGGGGCTCCAGCTGTTCCCCCCATCCTGCTGATGTAGCTCACCGCCCCTGTGGGTGAGTGGCTCTCGCTGAGTCTCTGGCTCCCAGCAGGGCAGGGCTCCTACCTGTGTGCCGGTCTTCCTTGTCGTCTAGGGGGTTTGAGGCTCAGGGGAAGGAGGGCTCAGAGCACACCCAGAATATATAGGGCTATTTCCCATGGTGCTCTGAGCTCATCTGCATATCTCCCATGGTCCTCAGGGCAGGGGCTAAAAGTGGCGAATCATGGGCCTCCTACTCCAGGGCCTGTAGCACTGACCCCCCTCCGCCCCTCTGGCCCCGCCTCCCGAGATTGTTACATTGATATTTTCTGAGCACTGTTTTCTGTGGAGACGCAGAGACAGACAGACAGATGCAGTCTGCTGCCCTGTTGTTTGTCTGCTGGGGAGTCCTGCAGGTGTTCCCGCTCTCCTCTGCAACTCCCTTCCTCCCCATCGGTCCACCCCTCCCCTGCTGCTGTGCATCCTGCTCTCTGCACAGCCCTCCACCCCGCACACACGCCCCTCTCAGCCCGGGGTCCCCTGATAAAGTGCTGCATGGCCTTTGGGGACTGGTCAGCCCTCCACTCCTTACCCCCTTTGCTCATCGCCTCACCTGGTGCAGAAGCTTCCACAGGCCTGAGCCGCAGCCTCTGGGTCCGAGGGCAGCCCTGGCCGCCTGCCACTGGCCGCTGAGCCGAGCCCCACCACTAGGAGGAAGTGGCTCCTGCTGCCAGCCTGAGTGAGCCTGGGAGTGGTTTCCCCAGTCCAGCCTTCAGATGAGAACAAAGCCCGCTGCCTGCAAGGGTGCGTCTCTGAGCGGGGTTCCTCGTGCAGCACATGGTGAGAAGGTGCAGTTACTAAGCCCCCTGCCTCCTGGACCCCGAGACCAGAAGGAGACAGTGCCCAGAGCCCAGTCCCCACCGCTGGGGAAGGATCACTATACATTGTCTTGCACAGCGTGGGAGAAAAATGGGGAACAAAACACCATGTGACCAAAATGCCAGGCCTCCCGGTCTGATGGAGACTGACGGGATCCCTGAGACTGCTGAATCCCTCCCAGTGGCTCAGCCTCAGCCAACCAATAGTAGACGTGCAAGGTGGAGAGTAGCCCAGCGAGTTCCTCGCTCCGGAACAATCACCCTGCCACCCCACAGGGCCTTTCCCCAGGGATGGAGCTCTGAGGCCGGAAGGAGAAGAGGGAGCTAGGGGACGGGGCCAGCAGGAGGAGGTGGGAAGAGCGCTGGCACATGGGCTTGCATCAACAAACCAAATGGGCATGACCTGTGGGTGGCGCTCTTCAGCAGTAGAAAAGCCATAAGCCCTCTCTCCAGGACTCCAGAGAGTGCTCAGGAGGATGTGTGCGCATAGCTGGTTTTTACCGTCCTGTCAGGCTTTCAACATGGGGACACTGTGGTTAGAATGAGGATGTGGTTAGGAGCTTTAACAGGAGGTCAGTGAACCTCCTTATAGTCCTATCGATACCCAAGTCAATTGCCACAGAGCTGCCCAGCACACATGGCTCACCCAACCACAGGAGCCCATACCTGTGCCCTGGCCAGCCACCTCCCACAGGACCTGCCCCAGAGACATTGTGTTGTCGGTTGGAACGTTTAAGTCTGGGGCAAGATGGCCTGCTCTATGTCCCCAACCCACTTAAAAACAAACAACACAGTAAGGCCCTTTCTTAAGACATAGACTCGGTTAGCCTCCGTTTCTAGAGAACCCTGCATGGTCAAATTGGGGATTTCAAATGTGACCCCAAACAGAGCAGCCTCCTGGTCCCCCAGTTCCACCTCCTCCCTCAGGCCAGACGCGGTGGTGATGCCTCGCCAGCCCCAGCACTCGTCAGACCAAGAGTCACTGGCCACTGAAACGCCTGCCCCCACCTGTCCACAGAGGCCAGCCCTGCAGGGAGAGGAGAGAAGCTGTCCGGTGACAAAGCGTCCAGGTGGAGATTCAGGGATGGTTCAGGCTAGTGCACGAAGCTTGGAGCTCTGTTTCTACCCGAGAGGTGACAGTAAAGTCATTAGTGGAAAACTAAGCTCCAGAATTGACGGACGCGGACGCTGACTGAACTGTTTCTTTCTTGTCTGCTGATATGCTACCTCGCTCTTCACACAGACGGCTCCGGAGCGGAGGATGCAGCATGCGACAGGCACCAGAGGCGGAGAATTAAGCACAACCACCCTGTAGCCACCCCTCTTGTGTCTTTTCCCTCCACAGTGACTCGAAATCTCATATGGAAACAGCCACGGGGGGGGGGGAGCCAGAAACCTCGCCTTGGACTAAAAGTAAAAAGAGCCACTGGGTGGTCAGTGGGTGCAAGCAGGTTGGGCAGCGCCCTCGCAGAGCTGCTGGACTCTCCGTTCTCTTGCTCTGTGGGCCCCTCTTCCTCAGTCCGGCCATGTTCGCTCGGAGCAGGGTTGACTCGGCCGGCCGACTGACATGGTGACTTCTCGGTGGCTCTGACCATGCTGGCCTTCTTCTGGCAGTCAGCGGCCCTCAGCAGACATCTGTTGTCCAAAAGCTCACAGGGTCCAAGGAACCTTCCCTCAGAATGGGTCTAGCTTGACCATTCTGGGGGCGGGGCTAATCCGACGGCACCCAGCGGCCCTTCATCGGCTCGAAGGGCAAGAAGAGCCCCAGACCAAGGGCCACCCACAGGCAGCCTGGGCTCTACCTGGGACCTGAGCCCTGCTCAGCCCTTTCTCAGAGAGGAGAGAGAGGGGGTGGAGCGGAGGCTCTCAGGCCACAGGCAGGTGAAACAGGTGGGTGACGATGGAGACGGATGGGGCAACGGAAGGACAGAGGACAAGAAAAGGCTCCGCAACCACCCAGCCTGGTCTGCCCACCCTGCGTTGCGTGTGGACGCGGCATTTTCAAGTTGGGGCCACCCTTCTGCGATTCCACCATGCCAGAGGCTGAGGATGCCCCCGGCAGCATCTGTCAGCCTGTGGGACCCACTGCTTGGAGAAGAAGAGGCCCCACCATGCCAGAGGCTGAGGATGCCCCCGGCAGCATCTCTCAGCCTGTGGGACCCACTGCTTGGAGAAGAAGAGGCCCTCACGTACAAGCAGCCTGCCCTGGGGCGGGGCCTCAAGTGCTTTCTGTGGAGTCTACTCTGCTTTCTCTCCACCCCCCATTCCTAGTCCCCTAACCCTCCCCTCCCCCCCAAAGATTGTTGAATTCCCTTCCTCTCGTGTCCAAACCCGAGTCATTTCTGAGCTCATAGAGCCACACAGACAGATACAAGAAGTCCTCAGGACCACCCAGGAACCGAGCAACATTGGAGAGGGGCCCCCGCTCCCCAACTCTCCAGCCCTCACCCCCATCCCCGCAGGTGCCTGAGCTCAGACTTCCGGCCGGTCGCCTGAACAGTCAGCAAACCAAGTTCCGTCCCTTGACGTGCCCGCCCACTGACCCATCTGTTCACTGCAGCACCAAGGCGTGGAGGCTGCCGCTCCAGCTACCAGTTAGGGCCAGGGCAGTGGGGCAGCGGCCCAGGAGATGCTCAGCCTACGCCTTTGGGTGGGACCAGCCTTAGGGGGAACCCAGTTCTTCCCTCAGGGCCCAGTTAACGTGGCCTGGCTGGAAGTGGTGGGCAATGTCCCTGAACCTGGGTGTCCAGGGCCAGCCATGACCAGCTGAAGCTGTGTGAATGGAGAAGGTCTGCTCCCCACTGGTCCCTCTTCCCCGCCAGCCCCGACCTTCCCTGGTGCCACGGACACTGCCACGCTGGCAGACAGGCAGTGAAGCTTCTCCCTGACCGGGTCAGGAGAAGCAGTCTGGCTTTCAGCTGTCATGAGCCCATGTGACCAGGGCTGGGCTGGACGCCATCATAGCATACGGGGAGGCTGAGTGGCCGCCAGGCCCTGGCAGTGACCCTGGCCCTGGCCCTCACCCTCCAATGAGCATGCCAGTCCCCGCTGGGCCCACAGCACAGGGGCGGCCAGGGAGGCTCTGTGGTCACTCAGACCTGTGAATATCAACGCCTGCAGCCCTTGTACCCCTGTTGCTCCCCCAACCCCCAGCCCAACCCCATTGCTGTCTACCCAGTCCACAAAGCCCCTCCTGCTGGGGGAGCCCACCCCCACAGCCAGTGTCTACTGAGTTTGAGACGTTGGGGCTCGGGGAGGCTCTGAAGCAGGTCCCCTGGCGAGGTCAGCGAGTGAGTTAAGGGATGGTCCCAAGGATCAGCGGCTCAACCCCACTAGCTACTCTGTGGGAGTCACACTTGTGGAGAAGCTCCACGCACCCTGGAGGTGGCTGGAGCAGCGGCACTGACCCACCGGGGGTGGGGTCGCTGGGCCTCACTGCGGTCAAACTTCACGTCCCAGGCAGGGCAGGCGGCCAGTGGCACCTGTGCCCCCACCCTGAGAGTCCTTTCGTTCCTGGACCCATACTCACTGAGTTCCCGGTGGCTAGGCTGTTTCATGGTGTGTGTGTGTGTGTGTGTGTGTGTGTGTGTGGTGGGGAGGGTTCTTGGACCCTCTGCTCAGCAGATCAAGGGTCCACTGTCTCTCTCTCTGTTGCAAACATTTCCCCAAAGTGACTGGTGGTCGGTGTGGGGCTAGAAGGGCCCTGCCTGGCAGACGCCCCTAGCCCACCCCCACAGTCAGCAGCCGCTGGCAGAGGCCTGTGGGGCCTGAGGGCAGAGGCCAGGGCAGTGTCCTCTGAGCACAGCTCCTCGCTGGCACCCAGATTGAGCTTGGTCTCAGCCAGCGTGCT